GGGAGACTCCAGCTGGAGCTTGCCAGGCGGGGGGCATTCTCGGCATTCCCCCAGCACACGACGGAGCCTGGAATGTTCCGTCCTTGGGAAATCCTGGGCCTTTGGATGCCCTCTGAGTGGACCAGTGGGGGTGGCCCTCGAGGGCACTGACTTAAGACATACGAACATACAAGCACCGTGTCCCTGAGTCACTCCTGCTCAGCCTCCAGAAAGCCCTGGAAACCCCCAGAAGGCTCCAGAAGCCTGAGCCCAGAAGCCACTGCGGGGGACACGGGTGCGTGCGGTGGCTGGCCAGCAGGGGCGGCTTGGGCTGCAGACTGTCCCCCCACCCCCCACACACACCGCCCGGGGTTCTCAGCCGAGGCTCATCCCGCCTCATAAAGACACCGGCGTGCCCCGCACCGGCGCAGACAGGCCCACAAATCAGGGCTGGGTTCTAGATTTAGAACTTCACCACCCTGCCCGGCGGATCAGCTTCCCCGGACGGCCACCGAGGCTGCAAGAAATACGGCCGATGTCTCCGCTGCTGGAGAAACAGGAGAGATTTATTCCAAACCACGGCGACCTGTGCTCAACGTCTGGGGCGACTCGGACACAGCCAGGCGGCACCTCCCCCTGCAGGAGGGGAGCTGAAGGCACGGGAGGGGAGGACCCGCCCGGGGCCCACGGTGCAGCAGCCGTGCTGGGCCCCACACCCGGGGGTCCGGCCTCGAGCCAACTCATCCCAGAAACCATGGTCCCTGCCTCCGAGCTGTGTGGGGCTCCCTTCAAAGGGCCCCGACTTGGGAGCTCTCTTTCCGTGGGGCACACGGTCCTCTTCAAGGGACAGGTAAAGGCATTTTATTCACCTAGGCCATGGTTTCCCGAATGGCCGTGCCTAGAGACTGCGGGAGCAGGGCGGACCAGCTGGCCTCGCATTCGCCACGCGGTGACGGCGTGAAGGCAGGTACGGGGTGACCTCACCCTGGAGCTGCCCTGCGGGTTCTCGGAGACGTCACTGCCTCTTCTCCAGCCGCCGGGCCCACCTGGGCCATTAGACAATTAGACGGACACCGTGGGCACCATGGCCGCGGTCCTGCGCCCACGCGGTCCTGCGCCCTACGCAGCCCGGCACCAACCAGCCAGCAGGCGCCTCCCGCACACCCCTGCCCCGTGGTCAGACACTGTGAGGGAGCCCCAGACGACGGCCCAGGCTTGCTGCGTTCCCCTCCGCCCAGACACAGCACCCCTGGGGCCTCGCAGCTGTCATCTCAGAGCGCCAGGGCCTGCGGGCGCCAGTGCCGGTGGGTACCCAGCGAGGAGTCAGCAGAGAGACCGGGCCAGGCAGGGACCTTGTGCCACAGGACACCCATCCCGGACCGCGCCACCCTGGTAGGCACAGGGGCCTCCGCGCGGCGGGCGAGGGCTCTAAAAATGGCTCTGGCCCGATGCAAGGCTCCCAGTGCCCAAAGCTGGAAGAAAATTAGGCGGTATTGGATTATAACCCCGAGTATGAAATCGGTGTCCCCAGCAGCGAGGGACTAATTAACAAAGGGGAGAGAAGAGACGGGCCTCTCGCGGGAGTGAGTCCAAATAATCTGGGGAGGTGCCCCGCTTTGGTGTGCTGTCCTGGGGGAGGGCGGATCCCGGACCAGAAAGACACGCGGGGAAATGTGAACAAATATTGGCTTTAGCTCCTGAAAACGTATCAACACTCGCTCCATTATACTCTGTAAGACGTTAGCGTCAGGGAAGCTGAGTGTGGGGCGTATGGGAATTTGTACTGTCTTCAGAAATCTCCTGTAAACCTAAGATAAAATGTGTTTACTTATTTGCTTATTTCTTTATCTGAGAGAGAGTGCGCGCGGGCAAGCAGGGGAGAGGGGCAGAGAGACAGGGAGAGAACCTCGAGCTCCACTGTCAGCGCGGAGCCCGACGCAGGGCTCGGTCCCACGCCCCTGGGATCGTGACCTGAGCAGGAACCAAGAATTTGACACTCAACTGACCGAGCCACCCAGTCGGCCCCAAGATAAAATCTATTTTTAAAAGGTGATTCTGAAACAGATAGAGGCAAAAGACTGAGGTTGGATGGGGCTGTGAGGCAGGTGCATATGACATTCTGTGCTTGTCACTGGGGGTCTGTTTCACAAGGTGGGAAAGAGGGAGGGATCGGGGAAGGGAGAGGTGGGGTGA